CACATTGAATAATTCTCACTGTAAAACACTGTGTCGCTAAAACATTACCGCCATCTGTTGAGTACACTGTGGTGAATTTTTGGTACGCTGAACAGATGGCGGTAGTGTGTAAACGTCAAACGCAAGGGAATTGACTATGCACGCCACAGGTGGCGGTACTAGCAACTACGATACTTTTAGATTGTCTGTTAAATGCTTGTTCGATGATTAACTTGCGAGTGTTATGTCTGTTTGTCTGTGATATGAGATGATGGTTTAGGAGAGGACGTTTATTTGATCCGTTTCTTTGTACGGGTGTGTTTTTTTTGCAACTAGCGTAAGTGTGCCTGCGATTTGCATTGAGTGTCGGAGATCGTAAGTAATCTGAAGGATGCCTCGCTGGATACGTCCAAGACTGGACGGACAGTAGCTGGTGGCCATAAACGGTTCCTGGGGAAAACACTAGATGCGACCCTCCTCCCAGATGACCATGGCAATACAAGAAGTATTGGTATTGGAAGGTAATTGCTATTAGATATTTTGCAAACAGTGACAGATAGCGGACATGAAGAACCAGTGGAGGTGCCGGGCAAAGGTGTTTATCCTAGACAAATAGTAAGTTACAAATTCGCTGTTGTCGTTGTCGTAGGCGCCGTCGTAGTCGCTGTCGTAATCGCCGTCGTAGTCGTAGGCAGTACCGTTAGTATATTTAAAATTAAACGTCGGTCATAGCTTGTTATGATTACCTGAACCATGCGTAAAGAGAAAATCGAAACATTTAACGTCGCGTGAAAATGGATCTTACTAAAGGCCTCTTTCGTAGTTTTGAGTTTAAGGATTTCAAAGATCGTCGGTTGCAGTGGCTTGCTTACTGAGCAGAAAAACGCGTTCCCAGATCCTTTCATATTAAAAATGTATGGTTAGATCGCTTGTTTATCGTGTATTTTGTAAATCTTTTCGTTGTCGTCGGTGCCGGGTCTGAATAGTCATGAAAACTTGAGTAACGCTATAATATGATATGAGGGGCTCGGTGGCCTTAGCACAACCGGCATTGGTTTGAGAAAGCAGTCACGCTTACCACTACACCACCGGCGCCGGCTGGTACTATCAGTTAAAACTTCTTTTTTTTGAGCTTAACGTCTACTAACAATGTCGCTCAAAAAATCATACTTGCATTTTACGGAAACCCACAAAGATGTTAACATTAGCTTTAGATCATTTGCAGCCTTACGGCCAAAAAATTGAATTTCAATTCTTAGTAAATCAGGATCCCATAATGTTTGTGTATGTACGATTCAAGCAAATGTAAATCTAATCGCATATTGTGTGATCGCACCACAGATAAACATATATAACCCTCGCAAGTTGTTCATGGAACAAGCATTTAACGGTCAATTTAAAAGTATCGTAGTTGGTAGTACCGGTGGAAACTAACGATTTTTCGATTAACGTGCCCCATTCTAGTTGAAATTCTAGTACTACACTATGTTTGTTTTGTTTCGCTATGAAAGTTTGACAGATAAAATGAGGGGTTAGTGGATTTTCCTATGTTTCGAGGGGTGAATCGATTAGCTTGGGACCGAAGATAGTACCAAAGCTGAGCCAAAAAGTTGAGCACGTTTCTTCGGGACCTACTAGTCTTATACCCTGGACAGACTATGGCTTATATCACGTAATATAGGCTGTCTTGCAATGAGCACTCATACATAGGATTTCCAGTGAAAACTAGATGTATGAGTGCTCATTGCAAGACAGCCTATATTACATGATATAAGCCATAGTCTGTCCGGGGTATTAGAGTTACCTCTATGATAGTACCATCACCTGTGGCGCGCATAGTCAATTCCCTTGCGTTTGATGTTTACACACTACCGCCATCTGTTCAGCATACTATCCACCACAGTGTACTCAACAGATGGCAACAGATAGCGACGATGTTTTACGGTGAGAAATATTCAATGTGTTTAAATATGCCCTTTACAAAAGTTACTGTTAAGGAAAAATATTAATTATATGAAAATTGACAATTGCAACCATTGGTAGCACCGTACACTGTGACAATTTCCTTGTAACTTGGATAATTGTCGGATAATTAAGTTATCGATAATACTGAACGCAAATAGGGTCAATTCAATAGCGCATCGGTACCACATAAGAAGAACGTAAAGTCTTCATTCATCAAACATAACTCAAAGACAAAAGATAGAGGAAGGTGGGGTGTGCTGCTAAATAATAGTAACGGATTGCACAGTAAGCTTACATCTATTCTTTAACCATAGATACAATTTTCTCCTCTCACAAAAGCATTTCTACTTTGCTCTATCGGTGGGGGCCCCGTGATAATGATGCAACTGCACTTCTGCCACCGATGTCACTCGTCGCACTGTTGACTGTTGCGCAACATTCAATGTCGTTGCGTTGCTTGCGCTGCTGCACTGTTGCGTGATGTAGTCGTGTATCACCAATTGTCGCGTGACAACTCACTGTTGCACGAATGTCGCACGTTCCGGTGCTCTCCAACAGCTAATCGGTTGCAAGCGACGGCAGTCGCAATGCACTACCCACGACCACGTATTGCGAGTTCCTCTGGTGCGATGCGGTTTAACCGCTCTTCTGTCGTCTCGATACCGATATTCTGGTCTCCAGCGGTCTTTTACGACGACAGTAAAGCTGCTTGTACCTCAGTGGGCTTGGCGTAGACTTGCCGGATATCGTATGGGGCGAAGCTGTAAATAAAAGGCCCTCTGATGAGGCGACTCAGCATTAGCCGATCAATCATCAGGGATTTATTTATTGGGTTTACCTTTAGAAAGCCTTTCGTATTGTACGTAGCTCACGGTCTTTCCTGACAAGCACATGCGTTTATTGAGCACTAATGGCGATGATACGAGCTCCTGCGTCCATTTATGATTGTGATGTATGGAGGCGTCCTCTTATTGCTCCAGGAATGGCGGTCTGATCATGAGGGAGGGTGCATGCAACTATCCTGCAAAGAGCATGTTAGCCCACTGTTTTGCCTAGATCATGGCCTTGAATTTACCTTGAGAGACAGATCACGCTGATTACTCCTTCTGTCAATCAGGTGTGTGGTCCTCCTTCACGGGAACTTGATCTATCGCCACGCACTTTTAGCAACCACCGAAATTATTTCGCCAGCACTTTTGACGCCAACCACACGATAGTAGTGCTTTAACAAAAATACCCGTCCCATTGTCTACTACGGGTATTTGTTCTTGCAAAACGGCTGTGTGGACAGGAGCCGATCTCTTCCTATCGATGTATGTGATAACGCCGTGAGAGAGGATGTATAACAGATGATGAGTTGGGTAATTGGTTATCATAAACGGGATACACTTAAAGAAATTGGCGCATTTTGTCGGCATCATCTCGAATTTTTTGTAACAACATGTGAGCAATGTTTCATGCAAATCCGAGGTCGGGGTCGAGACAAATTTGACATTTTGTGTAGTGTATTGGATTGGAAATGCACAATATTATTTGGTGTTTCCTAGCAGATAATCATGTTGGTGTTTCCTGATTCAAAGAATGCTAAACATGGGCTGTCCATAGTTGGGCGTTGTTATGTAAGTATCCAAGTAACCATATAATTACAAGATAACTTTAAATGTAGGTTCAGAATGAGATAATGTCCCTGAGATATGGTTAGTTGGGTATTCAGATGAAACTATTACTTTAAAAAAACTAATCCTGGTTGTATCTCTTTTTCGTTTGCATGTAACAATATTTGATATTACTAACCGCACCGAGCGTTAACTTCGGGTGGTGAGCGAACCTAAAGAAGAAAAAGAAGATGAAAACACAGGATGAGTGGTACCATAGAGCCCCTTTTCGAAACGAGTATATTGTTAATGAACCTCGTCTACGATTCAAGGTTGGCTTCTATAATGATTGGTGTCACATAAAAGGTAAAATAGGTAGCACCATCTTCAGCACAATGTAAGTATTACTGACAATAATCATAGCTAGATGGTATTCAACCGGTAACTAGGATCAACTAGAGTCGGTGTATAATGAGTCACGCCAAGAGAAAAACAGTTGAACTCGCATCACGGTTTTCGAAAAATTCCCTTTCTTTTAACTTGGCAACAGAGGACTTCTACATCAACTTCAAATGACTTCTAGCGAGAAAAAATAATAGCGGCTGTAGTAAATCATTATATCAGTGATTTTGTCAAATTATCTTAACAAAAAATAGTAGAAATTCTCATTACTGATCATTACCAAACGTATCCCATGACAATTGAATGCTCACTGCGTGTTTATTATCATTTCTTCGATTATATTTTATATTTTATTGCAATACCTTTCGGGGACCTTTCATAGCATCGTAATGTTTGTTTACTTTGCACGATAGGTAGCTGGTTTGACAGTTCGATAGGAAGACTTGGCTTCAGTCTTGGCGTGACTCATTATACACCGACTCTAGGATCAACGATATTTAAACATGCGCATTAAAACTCCTTTGATTCTCATTTCTCTTATCCTTCACCTATGCATTCACGCGTCTATCACATATATTAGTCGAGAATGATTTCATAACTATAGTTGGCGTGTAGCTTGTTTGCGTACTTGAGATTTGATTATTGGGAAATTTGTGATTGAAAAAAATGGTTTACACGAGCTTCTAGCTTTACCATCAACCGGCGTAGCCCATTCACGCAATGCAAAATACACTCTAAATTCATTCTCACCTTTTTCATCACCACACAGCATGACAGAACCGTCCAAACTCACCACTCCTTTTTCCAATTCGAACACCATCACAACAAAACACCATGTGTGCACGCCTGCTATGCTATGCTTGCTCATACTCTCTTGTTTTGTACGGAAAACCCCTCTCTTGATGACGTTTCTTTGCTCCCTCAATTTTCATTCATGATATGATCGATGAACAACACTGATTCTCTCTATCTCACATAGTTCATAAAAGCTGGCTCTGGCTTAACTGAGTGGTGGTGGGTTTTTCTCGAACAGAATTTCAGTCTTTCGTGGTCGTCCGGTCGGTGAGGTTGTGCGTAATCCCGTTTACGGTCGTTCGGAACTTTCCCAACGCGCGGTGGAGAGGAACAAACGAAAATAAAAAAAGAGACAATTTTGGGCCATTCCGATTGCATTTGATGGGAAGTGTTTTGCCTTTATCCACTCACAACGCGGCGGTGCAGTGAAACACAACAACAGTGCGAAGAGATTTACAGTTTTGACATTAGCTCATCCCACGGTAGTAAAAGAAGCTAAACACTTTGTAAGCGAAAATTGTTCGTGAACGAAATTACGCGCTAGGGAAGCGAGTAAAAATATCCCGACGGCTGGTCTTCAGTCGGAGTGTATTGCAGATTGTGTATGACTTTTTTGACGTTTTTATTTTCCTCTCGATAAGGCAAAAAGCTAGCGGAGGTTGAATGTTTCTTGTGCGTGAATTGAGATAAGAGGCAATCGAAGCAAAGAGTGTTCGCTGGAATTTTATAGCACTCGAGACTCAGTCAGTGGGGGTCGTTTCGTTTGATAAATAATTCCAACAAAATCCATTCGGAAATTGACATTTCCTCCCGGGGTTTAACCAATTATCGGAAAGTTACGATAACATTGGCATAGGCATCCAACACACTAGATCGGATTAAATCAATTGCTGTGAAAAAAAGGTGATCGAGGGGCATTCGACGGATTAAGGGGATGATTTTTCGGCGATTGGGCAACCCCGGATAAGAGTAGTTGTCAAAAGACACGCAAAATAGCAGCTTATGAGAATCGGGAACGCGTGTGGTGAGTGTGGGTGACACAATCTGCAAGACAGTGGCGACGAGGACGCGACAACCGAAAAAAAAAACATTGAATGAAGTGGTGAGTTGGAGAAATGTGTTGTATTGGTGAGCAGCGGTGGCTCTCCCTCGACGAGATAGTAGTTGCACAACAACGTGAGTTTGATCCCTCAGCTCTCGCTCGCAATAACGTCTCGCGTGTATTGTTCCGATAGGCGAAAGCGATTTTTGAGTGTAAACAACAGACTCTTGTTTTATTTTGTCCAAGATCTAAGTAAAAAAAATTCGAATCTCCCACATATAATATGCGGAAAGTCCACTCATCCGGAGCAGAGCGAGAGTATAGTGAGGAAGAGTATGTCCAGCGAGCATTTTATGTTGCACAAGAGCAGGCCCTGAGATAGCTGTGTATACAGAGTGCGGTGTTGAAAAGTGACGTTTTCGAAATTGTTATCCATGTACACATATTGTGGGTGAAGAAAAATTTTTGTTTACCAATCTTTTGGAAAGTGTAATTTTCCGCGATCGTAATTAACGAGAGCAGTAGCAGCAGCAGCAGCAGCAGCAGCAGAAGAAGTGAAACGCGGAGGAAAACAACGAGTGATTGTCTGCGAATGACGACGGTCTTTTCTATTTACTGATAGTGCGCGGCAAGAGTTTTGTAGATTGTGGAGTAAAACGCAGACATCCGGAGATTTTTTTCAGGCGATTGTTTCACTTCGGTAAGTTTGACTTTGTGGGTTGTTTCTTTTTCGATCGAGTCGTCTTGATGTTCGTGTGAGTAGTATGTTGGAGAATGGAAAGGAATGTCTGAGGAAGGTTGTAGGCAAAGTCAAATGTGATGGCATTTTGATTATGGGCCCTCGGAAGATGGTAACTGGTGATGGTTTTAAAGCGTTTTACATCGTTTCCGGATGAAAACAGTTCTACAATGCCGTGCCTTTTGGGATCCTGCAGTTTCAGTCTAGCGAGACGAGCGACTTAACGTTATATTTTGGATTTTCAATGCCAGACGGCTTTAAAAAAAAAAATGCAAAAAAGGGGAAAATGAGAAAAAGTATGTCGGAAGGTAGATTTAACTTTTGTTTAGATTTCTTAAAAAAATTCTTCTCTTTACTTCTAAATGATTCTGTGTTAGAAATCATAGTTGGTGAGTGTTCTAAAATCCATCACAAACTGTTTAGTTACCCTAGAAGTGGGGTTTTTCCCCCTATAATCAATATTATGCTATAGTGTCTAGAGCAAAGTTGTAGAGAATATGGTCCTTTTTTTCATGGACGACCCTGCAACCAGATTTTTTGGCTATAACTTTGTTTGTGCATCCAAACAGCTAGAAGTCGTATACTGCCTATAATCGCATATCAGTCTCATATAGATTTTCGTCAGTTTTGAGAAAACGCTATCGACTATCAATTAGCATCTACTTTCATAATATGTGATAAAACTATCGACTTTTATAATGAAAAATGTGAAAACACTATCATTTGTCCCTACATGCAATGTAATCGCATATCAGTCCCATCCCGAAATTCAATCGTCAAGTTACAGTTCTGCTCTTTGAATTGTCATATTTTTCACAAATATAACAAAATATGTTAGCTTCATAGCAACTGATTTCAATTTGAAAAAATATCAATGATGATATCTATGATGTTTTCAAAAATATACGTGGAAATATCACTTCGTAACTTCGACTGCTATTCTCTCAATGCCTACTTTTTCCGTATGGGACTGATATACAATTATAGGCAGTATATCAATGCACAGTAAGAATCATAAAACACAACAGATTTAGTCAAAACTGCATATAAGAATGAATTTCATCGCATGACGTTTAGGTTTCATAGTATATAGTGCAAACTTTTGACCGTTGTATCATTTTTGCATCGTACAAGAGTACAAATGAAGCCGGCGCCGGTGGTGTAGTGGTAAGCGTGACTGCTTTCTCACCCCAATGGGTCTGGGTTCAATCCCAGCCGAGGTCGGTGGGATTTTTCTGAGGCAATAAAATCTCTGGTCACGTCTTCCTTCGGAAGGGAAGTTAAGGCGTTGATATCGGCCCATGGTGTGTTTGAATGGGTGCGATATCCTACGGAGGTGTGGAAGCTGCCTTCCTGCACATTCGATTGCGGTCAATGGATGGCAATCGATGTCCGTCGGTGATTGGCTCTAGATGGCGGAACAGAGACCTACGTTAAATAAAGGAATGAAGAGTAAAAATGAAATCGGATTATCTCGTATGACTTTTCATTCTCTGAATTTTCCTTAAATTTTCTCTGAAATTTTTTAAAGCTTATTTGAAATTTCTTGAACTACTCTGAATTTTTCTAAACTTTTCTAAACATTCCCTTAACTTTTATAGACATTCATCGAACTTCTCTAGATGTTTGCTGAACTTCTTAAGAACTTTTCAAGTCGTTCTCTCTGAACTTATATAGATTAGACCTGCTCATTTTAACAGAAATGTTCGAGATGCAACGGGTCAACCGTGATTACTGTTCCTTGTTGAACTTCTGTGCAAATTTTCAGCAAAATCGGTGATGATTTAGAGGTGCTTCAAGCTAATTTTATGTTTTTGAGGTAATTTACGGCTTATAATATTTGTATCTCGAGACTGAAACAACGAAAACTGTTGTAACAACTTTCATAGCTAAGCTTAATGTGTTATCTACCAACTTTGTGTGGAAAGTGAATTAATTGAAGTTTGACTTAGTTTCATGCTCAAAGATATCTTAAAAAGTGAAGAATTTTAAAGTATTTGTTCTACGAACTTTCCACCCATATGAAACAAAAATGTGTAATCTACGGCATAATGTTCCTTATACCGTTCTAGTAATTTCGTTCAAATATAGTTTTCGTGTAGATTATTAGATAAAAATCAGAAAAGAGGCCGTTATAGCTAAAATTCACAAGACAACAGAGCCAATAAAAGTTTCAATTAGATTGACAGATGTTGCATTGCTTTTCAATGACGACCAATGATTGTTTAATTGATAGATTAAATATTTAGAAATATGAATCCTCAGTAGTCGTTTCTTTTATCAAAGGCAAGTGTCACTCGAGCCATAACAGCAATTTAAAAAATATCGAACATTCCCTAAATGTTACCTGAACTTCTCTAGATGTACTCTGATAGGTGTTCCCTATACACAAACACTTTTCTCTACATTCTCAGAACTTCTCTAGATATTCTCTGTACTTCGCTAGACATTCTCTTGTCATTATATTTACATCTCTTGACGTCCACTGACCTTTTCTTGTGGTTCTCTTCACTTCTCTCGATGTTCTCTGACTTTCTTTGGATGTTTCCTGAACTTTTTTAAACGTTACCAGAACTGCTCTGGGAACGCCTTGACCATCTTCAGATTTACTTTGATGTTCGCTGAACGTCTCAAGATCTTCTCTGCATCTCTCTTAAGTAAATTTTGAACTAACATACATTTCCTAACCCTACCAGTTGTAAGGACGTGGCCAGGACAATCCTTAACTGTTGGAGCGGGATATGTCTTTATCTGGGAGGTAGTAATTATTTCCTACTTACTAATAGATATCCTCTTAATAGTTTTGAATTCGTACCACCTTCGATATTGTTCAACTGGTTCGATGTTAATGCTAATGCTAATGTTTACTGAACGTCTCAAGAACTTTCTGAACATTCTCTCAACTTCTGCTGACATTCGCTAAACATCTTTTAAAGTTCATTGAACTTCTCTCGACGTTGCCTGAAATTAATTAGATACCTAAATAGGAAGCTTGGCAAAAAAGTGCTCTGTTGATTCGTACTGTCATTGAAACAGCCGTCGCTCAATTTCAACTTCTTTTCAAAATGTGCATACTGCCGTACTCTAACGGAGCTATCAATTTTATTCTCTTCATAAATTTCTCTAGTTAATACATTTCGCACTAATTCTCATCTTGATATTAGTAATGCATATCCTTCTACCCACTTTTTTAGATGTTCCCTGCACTTCTCGAAATAGTCTGTGAAATTCTAAAGAAGTTTATAGAATTTATCTTAGCTTCTGTAGATGCTTCATTAACTTTTGTAGACGATCTCTGAACTTCTCTAAATGTTATCTGAACTCAACATGTTCTCTGGACTTTTCTCAAAAACTTTTCTAAACGTTCTTTGAAATAGTCTAGATGTTCTCTGAACATCTTTAGATGTTTCCTGAACTTCAAAAACATTTTTCTAAACATTCTCTGACCTCCTCTAAATGTTCCACATGAACTTCTTTAGATAATTCTTTATAATTCCTTAACGTCTCATGATGTTCTCTGAACTTCTATAGACATTCTCGTTAACTGAACTTCTCTTGACGTCCGCTGAACTTCTCTTGACGCTCTCTTCCCTTATTTAGATGCTCCCTGAACTTCTCAATATGGTCTGTGAATATCTCAACAACTTTGCTAGACGTTCTCTTAACATTTTTAGATGTTCTCTGAACGTCTCTAGGTGCTTTAACTATTTATATGTTTTGTATCAATTCTGCGTTAAGTCAACGATTTACATAGTTGAAGATGCTAATTTCAAATAACAGACTAAAGTGGTAATTTTTATACGATAGATGAGAATATGAAAGTATAGAGTTGATAGTTACGTTAGAGTACGGCAGTGTGAAAATTGTATATGGAGAGTAGAAAGCGAGCAAAGACAATTTTTTAAGAAGGTACAAATCGGTTTGATCATCTCTCTTTACCAAACTCCAAAATTTTCTGAACTTATAACTTATAACCCGCCATCACTGGGGGGAATACCCCTCACCATCCCTCTCCAACGAGGGAGTTTGGTAAAGAGAGATGATCAAACCGATTTGTACCTTCCCAAAAAGTTGTCCTTGCTCGCTTTCTACTTTCTATATACAATTTTCACACTGCCGTACTCTAACGGAACTATCAACTCTATACTTTCATCTCCTCATCTATTGTATAAAAATTACCACTTTAGTCTGTTATTTGAAATTAGCATCTTCAACTATTCTCTATGTGTTTTCTTTAGGTGTGCCCGATTTTTCAGATTTATCTGATTTGCTGTAGTTCTGCACATGCTCCTCGAACTTATCCAAATGTTCACTGATTTTTTTCTAGATGTTCCAAGGACGTAGATGTTCTCCGTACTTATTTAGCTGTTACCTGAGCTCCACATGTTCTCTGAGCTTCCCAAGAACTTTTATAGACGTTCTTTGAAATTTTGTAGATGTTCCAGATGAACTTCCCTCGATAATTCCTTAACTACTAAATATGTTCTCTGAACTTTTCTAAGCATTCTCGTTAACTGAACTTCTCTTGGCGTTCCCTTTTTTAGATATTCCCTGAACTTCTCATGAACTTTTCTAGATTTTCTTCGAACTTCTTTAGATGAACTTCTCACGAACTTTGATAGGATTTTTCTGAACTTCTGATGATTCCCGATCTTCTCTAGATGTTCACTAAACTTCTGTACACATTATCTAAACTTCTTTACATGTACCCAGTTCTTTGAAATTCCTAAAAAACTAAACATTTTCATTGAACTTCTCTAGATGATATCTGAAATTTTGAGGCTTGCGACGAACTTTTCTTAACTTCAGAAGAGCTTTGAGAACTTCAATGTTAGCTATCAAATTTCAAAGAAATTCTGCTAATTCTGCTAATTTCGCAAATTCTGAATTTTTATTTCAGAGCAGATAATAAACACAGATCTTGAAATAAGTTTGCAAATCACAAATCTCAAAATGTTGAA